TTATAATCGTCCCCGGGTTGAATGCAAGACGAGCCTTCATATGGGGCGCTGAAAGTCAACTGATCTATTGATGACTCCGTAACACTTCACCTATATAAAGTTTGTGGTTATTTGCACATCCACGCTTCAATAAATTTCAAGACATTTTTAGTGACGTTTGAAGTTGCTGTTTATTTCAAGTAGTGAATACAGCTCATGTCGCTGGATCAAGAATATAAAGATGCTTCCTGTAGAATCCTCGTGACGATCGAAGTATATTGATACATTATTACATTTTCATGAAATAGCTCACGATCTTTCATGCTATCATTGTCTTGAATTATTCATATAGGTACACCATTAATGATATGGTTTTACTTAATTTCGGTTCTAAGTCTCATTACGCGAATGCATTCGGTTATCCCTCCCAATTGTTGCTCACGTGTCCTCTAATATCAAGCGCGATTTGCCCTAAATTGCTTCACGTATCATTCCGCAATTTGCACTGCAGAATTCCCCGAATTTGATGCATATTCCTCTTCGTATTTTGCTTGCCCTTTGCTCTATATTTTGCCCTGATCTCTGCTGCTTCGCCCGTGATCTCTTCAACTTCATCTCACCTTTCTTGTGGCCTCTGACATACAGTTTTTTTTGCAGTCACTCACATTTCTCGATATCTTGATCAACTTTCGTCGCCCAGTGTTGCCACGCCCTTCAAATATTTTGTTTGCCTTACGCCTTCTATTAGAATTTGAATGACTTTATCTTTTTCCAAGCCCTTCGTGTTTATTCCTTAGATTATATTTCAAAAATCCCCATGCTTTCGGTATCATTTTGCACAAATCTCTCACGCATGCGATGAGCGAGTTTCCTTTCTCGTTCGTATTAGCAAGCTTGTAGTTTGGTGCAGCAAATTTCTGAAAACGTTTACTATAAGAAATAAAAAAAGATGAAATTTCGTACAAGTAATAACAGGTAGTATAAGCATTCTCGAGAAGTCATATACACTCGAGAAGATAAACGAACGAACCTCTTCATCACAACGTGCACGACGATTTTGCAAACTTTTTCCCGTTTCGTTACCTAGCCTAAGCGAACCGGACAGCCCACGGACATCTTAAGGTGGTTCGTTTTCTTGACATACGATATTCTCCATGTCGAATTTCACTATTGTCATTTTCTTACCAGTCTCTTAAAAGAAATTATAAATAGAACAGTGGGAATAAGCGACCTTCAGCTAATGTTTAATTGTCTAATTTCACTCAATTTTCCAAATGGCTACTGCGAGTATCGCTTCTAGAGCGTTCTTTTTACTGGCGGTTCGATTTAATTTTAGTGCCGATCTGGTCTCGTAAAGCGTCGTTAAATTGAACAGTCAAGTTTGGAGGCTCGTCACACGCGTTGCTTCTGAATGCCAGACACGAGGTTGGCCAGACACGAGGTTGGACTGCTCCAGTTTATTATTTGTACAGGGTGTTTCAGAATTAAGTAACCCTTTTAACTTGTTAATAAATAAAAAACTAAGAACGTTATGAAGTTGAAACTTGTTTTATTTAAAAGAAGAACATTTTCATGGTAATATTGTATCATAGTTACGTCATTATCCTGTATAGCTTGCTAAATTTGTGTTTAATTATCAAGCCTTAAATTTTCATCATGATTCGCTACAGCAAAGAAGAAAGAACAAAAATTATCGCTACAGTCAATAACGATGTCAATAACAGAATTTCAACGTGATTACAGGATCCATTTCAAAACAAGGATCCTTTAAAAACACATTTAAATATCTTTATCGAAAATTTGCGGATATCAAACATTTGCACTCTCGTCAGAAACACTAATGAAGGTTATGAAAGCAACGAAGAGAAGAGCCCTATTTTGTCAAAACAATTGTGTGGGCATTTAAAAGATATTATATTTAAAAACTAGGATACAATATTACCATAAAAATGTTCTTCTTTTAAATAAAACAAGTTTCAACTTCATAACGTTCTTAGTTTTTTATTTATTAACAAATTAAAAGGGTTACTTAATTCTGAAACACCCTGTACATGGTTAGAATAAGACTCAGAAGTTATGGCTCTGAATTATCTTTTAAGAGCTGAGTTATAGTCTTATGTATTTTGATGAACAAAATTATCTTCCAATCACTTAGGGAGGATTTATCTCTAAATTGCGAACATTAATTTCTGACATAGCTCGTCTGCTGTGACTGTGTGACTCGAGTGTATATGTGTACCGTGTTCTATCCAAGTCTTCAATTTAATACGTTTATGACGGCTTAAATTATGAACTTCAAGTCCTATTTATTTCAAAGTAGAAGCAGGTGGGCTGGTTAGTTTTCCTGTTTGTTCACACAAATCATTAAATTTAGATCGCTCTTCACTGCCAACGAGATCTGAAATAATGTTATGTTGAGGTCAAGGCAAGCATGTCGTACCTCGTCGCCAAATGATTCGCTCAAATTAATGACGCTTTTAATGAAAGGGAAAGGTGTCCATTAACTCGATTTAAATCTCACTCACAATAGAGTAAATTGATGAACCTTCGTCACGACATCCGCGTGCAAAATAAAATAAGCGAGGCGCTCAGCTGAGTTAAATGCGAACCTCTCGATGTCAAGACAAAACTTATATTTTAAAAATGGAGACTAGTTGCCGTAAGTATTCACGCATTAATGTTTATCTCTCATTCATCATCCAACTTCAAACCAGTTTCCAGTTTAATTGTTAAACATTGTTCCCCCTGTACTTTATTTATATAATAATAATTTGTTCGACATATCGTCACTACTTTATATCTTTTATTTCATGGAACTTATATCTTCCTAACTCTTCATAATCTCAATAATAGTTTATTCCGAGCTTTCTTCTGCTGCGTCTTACATTATGTGCTCTTCCTTAAGCTGGACAATAGTAACCCCAGACATCTTCCTTCCAGTCCCGTCACCTGGAAGCCTTGCTATTTTATTTCACGTCTCTTTTTATTTTTCATTGTAACGTGTGCTCCTGTGTGAATAAATAAATAAATCAAATAAAAATCAACCCTGGCTTCATGGGCGTCCTTGTTTTAGGTATACGAGCTTGTCTACGCGTATGATCGCTTTATCCTCCCGGTAAAAGAACAGCAATTCTCTTCAACACAATGGAACGCTCTTGGAAACTCCACTTCTGCCCCTGCATGTGACCGACAGAGTCGCCGCTCACGAAGCTCGTGTTGTTCGCGACCCTCCTCTGTAAATTTCTCCTTCTGAAAAATACTGGGGGCGCTGATTATTTCCGACTGTTTCCATGAGGCCAAGCGGCTAACGCTGTGGCTAAGCCAGTACATTATTCTTTACGTTATTTCAGGTTCATTATTATCGATCTCCTTCATAATTTATTTGATTGGTTAATAATCCTAGTGATATCGGTTTATTTCGTACAATATTTTAGATTTTTCTCACTATATTTATTCAGCTATCTGGGTCTGCATAGAAGAGAATAATAATCCATTCAATTTTAGAATTCCATAACCCTGAGCCCCGTTATCTCGAATCCCGCCAATAATTTTCAAACTAATGTAAGGTAATTAATGAAGGAAAGATAACCACATTATGCATGGAAATCCCGTTAGAGCCCCATTTTGAAATGTAAGAAAATTGATATTTTTGTTTTGGAATAAAATTTACCCCGATTTGAAAACTCACATTTCAATTTTTAAATTTGACTGATGAGAGGTGGGAAACAATAAACTTTCTAATTCCTTCCCTTTTTCAATCATCTCATCACACCACACCATCAAAAATACAATTTGTCGTCGGGTAATATCCCGACACGATAATCAACATGAATATGCGCCCTAACATCCCCTACAGCACCAAGCATATAAACACAATTTTTTGATAAATATATTACGGATAATAATTATTGTTAATAAGTGTCATTTACAGGTAATGTTATTACAGTCTGCAAAAGCGTACGGTAATACAGGTAATAAATACACCATGTAATCCAAAATTAGTCTTCGTCATATTTAAATTGGCACTGATTAATAATAAAACCACAAATCACGGAAATGTGGTTTTACAATAAATCATTCCCGAATTATCGGAAATGAATATAACATAATACTAGAAAAGTTCAGGGCATAAGTCAAACAATCTCTCAAAAATGGAGACTGCATCATGTTTATAGTACCAGCTTTGAAAAAATCTAAGCATGTCTCCTAAAAACGCTTTCCACACTTTATTCTCCAAGCTTCAGATTATTAAAGTTTATTTTATACCGATGTATGTTTAATCATTTTTAAGCAACAAGTACACGTTTAACGTCAACAAAATCCAGTTTGCAAATTTTTATCGTGTAACATACAAATTCCTATAAGTAACTAGTTGAGTGACGAATTTTTTCGCAATTTATCGTTATCACCTGGATCAAAATTTATCGGTTTTTGTACTCCCACTGCAATTTATTCGTCCCTCAGCAGTGCTACATGATTGAGCTGGCCTGCAATACCAAGATAAACATATTTTCTCGCCTTACTGTTAGTCAACACCTGAAGTTAACCTTATACTGGGATGTAACATAATGTTTTAGCAATATCATAAATTGCCAATTAATGGTGGGCTGACGCTTGATTTGTGGATTGGTAACCCGCACAAAGAGTTTCACCGGTAATGTGATGAGTTATTGTGCGGTTTCCTGTGAAGTATTAAAGTGCTTTATCATAATTGCGGCGACAGCAGCCTCCTTATAAGATTAGTCATCAGCAAATCTAGAATGCTAAAAGTGTTTCTTCCTATTTTCACAGATTTCTAGCACTAAGTTATTTTCTTACGAATATGGTGTATTGATAGGGTACCCTAAGTCATTTTTATACGAAAATAATGTATTGATATGATACCCTAAGTCATTTTTATACGAAAATAACGTATTGATATGGTACCCTAAGTCATTTTTATACGAAAATAGTGTATTAATATGATGCCCTAAGTCATTTTTATACGAAAATAGTGTATTAATATGATGTGACTTCCGCAGATGGTGTTGGAGATGGTGGCAGAAGAAGGCGGCGGGGGCGGGGGCGTGGCGGCCGCGGTGTCTCGCCGTCAGCTCCTGCAGCTCAGGGAGCGAAGCAGAGGACAGGCCAGGCAGCTACTGGCTACTAAACGACGCCTCAAAAATCAGGTGAAAACATCTATAAATCAATTGTTCTTATCCCTGTTCTTTCCACTAAACGAGACCTCAAAAATCAGGTGAAAACATCTATAAATCAATTGTTCTTATCCTTAGCCGTGTTCTTTCCACTAAACGAGACCTCAAAAATCAGGTGAAAACATCTATAAATCAATTGTTCTTATCCCTGTTCTTTCCACTAAACGACGCCTCAAAAATCAGGTGAAAACAGCTTCTCTTAATCAATTGTTCTTATCTTTAGTTGTGTCTTTTTATTTTTGATCGCTGTCTAACTTATCTGTGACGCGTCCTCGAAGTTCGGTTGAATCAGACGCCATGAGAATCACTTTGTAGAACAATTATATGCATCGCATTCTAAAGCACATCTTGGCAATGTTTAGCTCGGTGTTCGTTACTTCTAGTTTGCTGCTTCAACACAGCGCAATTAATATCCACTTCTAAAATGAAGCAATTTTTAATTAATAGGGCATGGAAGAGATTCCTATAGTTTATACCCCATCTCAACCCTCCTTATATCTTCAATGAAGTATTCATGAATATTTTTATTTCGAAAAAGTGTTCTATCTCGTCAACTTCTCAATGGAGCTTAAATAAACAGTAACCGGTAAATTGTGACTACTGCTTTGCTTGTTAATTAAGCGTTAAAAATTTTGCAAGTTTAAAAACTAGGCATCGAATAAAAAATCTTGAATTGCCACGCCTGGTGAACTTGAAGAGAATTTCAAGAAATTCAGGGAGTAAAATTTATGATCCATACCATAAATAATTATCGAATTAGTGGCATAAAAATTACATATAAATTCCGAACTAAACTCTACCTCAATTATTGTGTTCGAATTTTATGCTGCGAAAAAGCAATTTAAAATTTAACTTGGAGGGAATATTTTCAATAAATTTTGAAACGCATCACTGCGACATTAATGCTCTGTAATGCATCACTTCTTACCGTACTCGCTTGCATTATCAATCATTATAAGCGCTACCGCTGCAAGGCTGCGACGTTTGTTTTTCCGCCGTTATTAATGCGCATTACGGTGCGCTGTGCAAAGACGATTGAATGCATTGTTTCTTACCAGGAAATTTCTTTTTTACATGAATGTTATTCCTACAATTTTTTCTTGCAATTCCATGGACAAATCCTGCCTTTCATTTCATTAGTAAGGAACTTACAAGCTTAAATACCAGCAGCAACTTTTACATATTTATAAAGTTCTTTGTCCATTCATTTTGGTTGATCAGTCTACCTGCTATTATTCCTTAATATTTGAAGTAGGTTAATACAGGAAAGCACCGCAAGTTCCTGTTGATCATTCCTTGCCTTCCTGCTGATTGTTGTTACCGAAATGAGGTCATGCAGGCTGCAATCTTGTTCATCTGCTGGTGCAGATTGAGGCCACCGAGTGTTAGGTTGCTGGTGTTGCTTCCTGTTGTGCTGCTTCAGGTCATGATGTTCTTATCAGCATAAGAGATAATAGCGTACTGCTTCTTATACAGCATATTAGGCGTTCAGCATAAGAATATTATCAGCATAATAGATAATTGCGTACTGATTCTTATGCCAGCATATTAGGCGTTCAGCATAAGAGATTAATTATCAGCAAAGGAGATAATCGCGTACTGCTTCTTATACCAGCATATTAGACGTTCACATCAACCCCAACTGTAACGGGTGCAAAAATATAAATTGACTTGTAAGAAATTCCTGATCATGACGAATGAAGATCCTAATAACACAATTAATCCTAATAATACTACCGGCAACAAAAATTCAAGTACAATAACAATAATAAATTGCAATGACAAGTATGTAACAATGAAAATTATAGACAAAAACCAAAATTTAATCAATTTGAAGCTGCCGAGCAGTTTTTGTGTTAGAAGCTTTTTTATATTCCCCAGCGACCTCAAATGAATTACCGGTGATTCGTGAAAGAGAAAAAAAACAACCTGCGGTGAATTACTTCCTCACCGTGTGGAGAGAAGACCGAATCAGGGACATCGATAGATGCTTTACGCTTCGATTTCCGGCGCAACCGCAACAGCTTGATGATGCGAAGCCTTTCATTTCTACGTACGGTCGTTGACTGCTTACGCCGAGAAGAAGGTCGGCAGACGATGTTGGTTTTGTTGAACAGACTTGTGGCAGGTTTGAATACTACGTCGTGAACGCGAATCAAAACCAGCAATATTGGAACTTCATAACCTGTTCCACGGTTTTCCCGCACGATTTCAATTGTGAATAACTATATTTTTTAATCTCGTACCGTTTATTGATTTCTGTAAGAACGATGACGAGGGCTTGCCTGATCAGCTAGCTATCTTGCGCTGAGTCACCATGGTTTATTGTTTATATCTTATGTTGGAATAGTTGGAATTTGCGAATTGTATGTTGTAACAAATCCTCGTCAACTTTGTGTCGCAGTAGAAAGCCACAATCTGACTGTTTGTCTTTCGTTTTACTAGCCTCAAATGGCGCTCGTTTGCGTGGTACTCTATCACTTTCTTCCTCTACATACAACTTTTTTAGAAACTTTTAATGCCAGCAATAAACATCGAATTGTGTAGAAACCACTGTTGAGACACGTTTGACAATCTGTAAAGTTGAAGAAAGTGACTACGGATGCATTGTCAGCGAATTGCAATCTAAGATTTTCAAGTAACAAGCACACTCGAAAAATGATAGACAGTTTGTCCCTTGAGCGATAGCATTCGAATGTATTCAGCTCCAACAATACCTGAATTCGTTTTTTGACAATTTCATGTTATATCTGTAATCTTCGGATTAATGAAGTAAGTGTATCAATTTGGTATCTCATTACCATCTCATAGAAATAATATCAACGGTGCTCGACCTTTGAAAACCTACGTAACTCGGAGTTTTCTAGCGTGAAAAAATTTATTCTTTGCATGATTCGTGGATTGATCACCAGGCCCTGTCAGAAAGCTTTAGTCGCCCAATTTACAGGCAGATCGCAATTAAAATGCGTCCTTTCCTGGATACAAAGACCTTTGGTGAGACTTTATTGTATTTAATACCTCAGCAGTCTTGTATCAACTGGGAGTGACGGTAGTCTAAGCTGCAGTTCACCATTGGGATTGTGAAGCATTAGTATTTAATTGAATAAACCGTGTATTAATTTAATTCATCAATTTTAATTTTATTTTCGCTTGTCTATTGAAACTGTCAACAATATTTCCTAAGAGCCTTTCAAGTGAGGCTCGAAGCATGATTTTCCTAGTAGATTTTTATCAAAAGACTCGAAAATTCCATGCCGTGAAATTGAATTGCGTTACGAGATCGATCGAGGTAGAGGATGCAGAACTAATCACCGCAGGGCTTCCATCTAACAGTAACACCTCACGCAGACAACTCCCACGCCCATTTCGACTTGAGAGACGTAAAAAAGTCTCTCAAGTCTTCAGATGGATTTTAAACACTACCAAAAAACTTGTATTTCGGCGTTAATATGCTGCTGTATCGTTAATAAGATGCAAATGAAAATGACACGGAGATAAATAAAAGCTCTTCACTGAAATATCTTATGTGTTGTTAAAAATTAAATTTTTCTCAAAATCCCGAAACCGAAAAGAAAGCCTCGATGGCATAAAAGACTGCACGGAAAGTGAGGTATAGCAGTATGAACTTATGTTATTTTGTATATTATCTTATATTTTTGCTGTTTATGAACTTCTTGAAGTGTTGAAATAGTCATTCATGATCGAAGCTTCCTACTTATTTACCCATGTACTCATGATGATTTATATCTTGGATTATGACGCAGACATCATCGTTGACCGCCTTAGCATGCAAGAGCTTGCGAGTGCGTTTGGGTGAAGGTCGGATGCCGAACTTTTTTGCGACGCCCTTGGTTATGATTACGTCTCGTTCACGTCGCTTATTTTTCATGATGACAGCTGGCAGATGCCTGGGATACGAACATTTATTCTGAAACGGTTATCATTACTGGCCACGAAATCGCCTGTGGCAAGATTTTCGATTTTCGTCTCAATTGAAAGTTAGGTAAACCGATTATCCAGTTATTTCAAGCCGTTTACAGAGGTGAGAACTCCCCTTCTGAAAAAATCCAGTCAATTTTCAACTCTAATTTCCTTGACGAAGAAAATCAAGTTTCATCAGGGTGAAGATTGGATCGGTATCTCAGTTTATTTGTTAAAGGGATTTTTCGTTATCCACGTCAGTTTTTTTATCTTTATAATTTTGGCTAAAATTTACTCACAATCGTGGGAAAAGTATTGAATAAAATGACACAACGAATTATGACACAACAGCCGCTCAGAATTTGCTATTCATGTTGAAACGTCAAGACGTTTAGATTTAGAAATTATTACATTTCTGACGAAGTTAAAATGCAAATGCCTCCTAACGCCTCTTATTTATGTAGTGTTTCTTGAATTTACGTCATATCAATACGTACTTATGGCTACAGTTTTAATTCGGACATCTCGCGATGTAAGCTATTTTCGATGAAAAGCCGAGATATTGGGCAAGGGTACGTACACAGTGAAAGCCGGTTGCCAGCGTGCTGGTTACCTGCTGAGGCTGGCGCCTGAAACAAGCGCGAGAGGGTGTTCACAGTGGAAGCGGAAACATGCTTGTGCATTCCCTATAACGATTGATAAAATCTCTCAATAATACGAATCATACAGTCAAAACTCGTTATAAATGAATAAATCGCATGATAAATTCATCATATAACCCGTCAAACTCTCTGAACAGCTGAAAAGCTGTTAAATAAGAAGAAATTTGATCGTGAGAAAAGCTGAGAATTTATCGAAGTCTTTACTGTCTGTAGAACCTGCACCATAAACATGTCCACATCACCTGCACCATAAACATGTCATCACCTGCACCATAAACATTAACATGCCATGTCCCTGTCCCATTGTCCCATGTCCCAACAATTTCGCGTTGTCGTTATCGGATTAATTAGGCAGTGGACGCCAGCGCCACTTCCGATAATTCTCCGATAATCCTCCAAAGAAATAAAGAAAATGGAGGGTTTAAAGGTACAACTAATTCAAAAATGACCATATGCCAAGCAGGTTGAGCAGATAAGAATGTGCAGTACATTCCGGTAAATAGGTATAAGCAGGTTGTCGGCAGAAGCCTATTCGTACAGGTTTCCACTGTGAACACTTACATTATTATCCTATGTTCATTCTTGTGGCCGGTTGGAGCAGGTTGCCCGCGTGGGCAAACCTGCTTCCACTGTGTACGTACCCTAACTAACCAATCTGATTGTACCCGCTGTGTAAAAAATCGGAAAGGGAGATTAACGAGTCTCACCCTCGCGTTAATGAAAGAACTCAACGGAAAAACATTTTGCACAGAGATCATAATTCCTCATTAACGCAATAAAACATACGATTCTATTTCGTGTAAAATAGCATCTAAGCCGCATACACTAAGATCTGGATTTCGAATTTCAACTATGCTGCCATAGGAATTCAATTATCGAAATAACATAAACATTTTGTCCACAGATTGAGCTGGCTGGGCACATCCACGAGGAACGAGACGCGAACTTGCGTTCGATCAAATCTCAGCTCCTGCTTCTGGAGGCGGGCCTCCGGAGACGACAAGAGGAGCTCGCAACTGTGCTACGCCAGAAGGACCAGACTATTCGTGACCAACAAAAATTAATCTTGACTCTTGCTTCTGTATTGAGTCAAGTCACCGGGCACAAAAAGATAGTGGAAGTTTTGTGTCTTGCCTCTAAAGAGGATCCATCAGTTGATTTAGTTAAAGTTCTCAAAGATATTTTAGCTTTCACTCCTTGTTTAGAGAATGACAACAGAAATTCTAGGAATTCGTCAGATCAAACGCAAAATGCACCTACAACAGAGTTAAACAATGTCCTAAATCGACAGAAAAATACAAAACGCGAGAAGCGCAGAAATGTACCTTATTCTGAGCGCATAATTAAAGAAGAAACAACGGACGAAGCTAAACCAAACGATTCTACATGTGATACGAAGCCCGACTCTGACAGCGTAACTGACACGGACAGCGCCATTATGCTCGAGGATACCTGCTCAGACTCGTTAGTGATACTACCCTGTATGCGTGATGGAGTTAAAGTAATCCGCAGCGTTTCAGATGCTTTAGAGTGTGCTTCGAGGCCTTCACAACTTCCTGCAGATACCGTCGACTCGGCTTCCATCACGCCAGTCAACTCCTGTCCATCGTCACCAAAAATTGCATCTGGCTCATCCAATAGTTTTCCTTCGAACTCCACACGCAGCTCGCTGTCGACCACGCCCTCGTGTTCGAGTTGCAGCGAAGACAGCGACGACAGTCCCAGTAGCACACTCAGCAAGATGCGGTCGTTATCTAGGGAAACGTTACTGAACATTAATGAAGATCACTACAGTGCCGAGTTTGATAGAGCATCCACAAACGAAAGGAATCACGTCAAAACTGCTGCAGCCGACGACGTCACGATACAACCTTTAAATGAAGATCACGATACCTCTAGTGTTTCCGTGGATTGTGAGTCTAACTTATCGATAGAAGATACGATGGCCTCGCCTACCTATGGAAGTGATACAACTATCAGCGATGAGACTAGTGATACAGAAGGACCCTTAGAAAATGATTTAAAATGCGAGTCACGACTGAATCTGGATTCAGCTCCCGAAAGACGACTACTGCTTGGGTCTTCAGGGAAGACTGAGGACAGTGGATCAAGTCCCTACGTGTACAAAAAGAAACCGGACGAAATCTTTCAAGTAACATACAATCGAGTAATGAGCAATCACAGATCAGTCACTAAAGTCAAAGACGTTAAATATAAGCGAATCAACAAAGCAAAATCGAGGTCACTAGAAGAGTTAAGGGGCAAATTAAAATTACGAGAAGGAAAACCTACCATATCAATGAGTATTGGTCATTCCTATGCTTAGAATTGTCATTGCTATCTTTGAAATTGGTACGACGAGCTCTAGAGGTTTTACCACAGTTCCCATTTTGTAAATATCCCTGCGCACCAAAGTATTAGTAGTAAAAAGACGAATAGCGACAGCGCAACAAAGTATATCTCGTGATAGACTTTCCCTACTTGTTTGTACATAACTATGAAGATTATATGAAATCACCGTAGTCAATTTTAGTCACACTAGATGTAGCATTTTTATGTGCAATATTTTGTATTTTGATAGTACAGAGTTATTCTAAATGATTTGCCCAATTCAATAAATTCATATTTATTCAAGTATAATTTCAAAATTGATATGAGAATTGATGAGAAAGTTCAATATGTCCCCCTTGTACTGCACGGCAAACATCTAAACGGTAGTTAAACTCGTCCCACACACGAGAAAGCATATCTTCTGTTTCTGAGTGCACCGTAGCAGTGATACAGTTCTTCAGATCAACCAGAGTCGCTATTAGAGGCGTCACGTAAACAGAGTTGCTGGTAGAGGCGGGACGTAAACAGAGTTGTTGGTAGAGGCGGGACATAAACAGAGTTGCTGGTGGAAGCGGGACGTAAAGAGTTGCTGGTGGAGGCGGGACGTAAACAGAGTTGCTGGTAGAGGCGAGACATAAACAGAGTTGCTGGTAGAGGCGGGACGTAAACAGAGTTGCTGGTAGAGGCGGGACGTAAACAGCTTCCTTGACGCAACCCCATAATAATTGTGCACATGGGTGAGATCAGGTGATCTCGGTGGCCAGCCAGAAGTGGAGAGCCAGAGCTTCATTTAATACGAGTCCTATCCAACGCTCGGGAATAGGTTTATAGATTATAAAATAATAAAATTAATATAGGCTTGGATAATATGAGAAAATTGAATCTTTCTCTTTCCATTGGTGTATAAATTTTTCATTTTGAATTAATACTTGAATAAATAAGAATTTATTATGTTGGGTCCATCATTTATAATAGCTCTGTATTTTAACTTCATTATTTTTTTAACATTGATTGTAGACTTTTAAAACCACTTGGCAATACAATAAAAGTTTCCAACAAAACACTACCGCTATTTTCTACATTAATAGAATGAAATAAAGATGATTACGCCCTCTGTCCACACGCTTAGAGAAGTAACAATGAAACACGAGAACATACGAAATATCACTGCCCGATTCAACTGTAAATTTCCCAGCATGAAACGAATAATCGGCAGGAAGGCCAAATTGCTGAATAACAGTGCACAAAACTGTGAGCAGCGAGTTGTTGGTTTGATATCACTAGGTATCTGTAGAAGGTTCTGGTCAAAATCTACAAGATGGCCTCTCGGTTAGGTAAGGTAATTGAGTGTTCCAAGGCTACAAGCCTAGTGTCTCAATTGCAATGATGCCACCGCTAGAAGGAAAACAAATTAAAATCCGATAAATCCTTGTACATTTTTCTATCCTCGTACAGTAAACCTTCCGATACTTTATGCTCACTGCAATCAAGGAAACGTGCAACATGAAAAAACACAATGAAAGATGGTAGAAGAAAATACTTCTTTCCATTTGCACACAATCGTCATAAATCGATCGAGTGTGATGGAACCTATACCTTCTCCCATGAGCCCGCTCATGAGTCCAACTTCAGATTAGGTCGGCAAAATTTCCCTTCATTCCATTAAAAAAGGACCAAATGATAAATATCAAGGAGTGTATGAAAAACCGTTGATGCAAGTGCTCTGAAAATCACGGTATTTGCAAATGCCAGCAACTGTAATGATCAGTGTTTCAAAGAGGATTCTATAAATTGCACATAAAAAATATTCCTGAATATATTTTACGTCCGTTCCAAACATTTGCGACTATCATACGATTCACTTCCTGCATTCAATCTAAACGAAACTTAACCCAACTAGATTACTAATACACGCATAACTCAAGAATCTCATCTAGTCTCTGGCAGCCAATTGCACCAACCTCTGGCAGCCAATTGCATCTAATTTTAAGCAAGTGAGCGGGATATAACCTAGTACCCTGAATACCTCAACATCATCAAGACGTCAAAATCCACCCAGTAACCACCTACACAGTTCGTTCAGTGACCAACCCATAGCCATGCTGCAAGCACCACTTCCAGCGGCTACCAGCGACACCACTAACTGAACTGAGCTCCCCTAGGCTCACACTCACGACTAGCCACTCGTATCTCGGTGCCGCTAACACTGCGCTACAGTGGCTCACTGCATTGCAGTCAGCATAACGTTACGTTAGCATAACTTCGACACTTAAATTCATTTAAGAAAGTAGATCAAGAGAAATTATTCATTCTCACTAAACTTGAAGTATTCCTCAATACAAAAAACTCGTAACAAAAAGTAGCGCATACAGTCTCAGGAGAAACGACGCCAATCGAAAAAATTTCGAACGGTTCTCGACAACAAAACGGCTCAGCAGGCATGGAATGGACCAGTACATAATATAATAACGTCGACTATACGAACATAGACTGTTTATGATCAATGCTCCGTTGAAAAATCTAATGAAAAAAGAACCAATTATTTGGCCACTACAAAATATACAAAGGGAAATTGGGCCAACGCTTCACAGCGTCTTCGTGTTGATCTCCTTCAGGCTTATGTCGGCAGGCGAGCGGCACTGAGGACAAGCCGAGGTGTCCATCAGGAATTTGTACTGCACAAACAAATGATCCATTGAATGCTTTAATTCATCATGATTTCTAAAGACTGAATTCATTCGCATAAATTGTAGTTGGAATGTAGATGTACTTAGCTATACCATTCAAGAAATTAATAAGCTGCTAATTCAGGACTGATTTTTGCTTAGTAATTGCTGGAGCGAGTCGCTAATAAATGCACGATAATAAATATATGCAATAATGCCAAACGTGTTAAGTTCTGGAGTAATTCAAACATAATTCCAAAGCCAATATCCTTGTCATCCTGGAGAAAAACGAGGCATTAATTGACGACTAAACTTGCAAGAAGACTTCTTGAAAAAATTACATTTGTATGTTTGGTTACTCGAACGAACTTAAAACAAATCAGTCACAGAACACTATCTTCAAGACTACTTAAGTGCTAAAATGAAATCAACAAGATAGAGAATAATATACGACGAAATATATCTAAGGTTTCAACATCTGTAGACTGTTCAAATGGCCCCTGACGTAATGAAGATCGACAAAAAATCTAAGGAAAATTAACGTAATCGAGATCCTCAAAATGGTGCGAGTTTGTAATGTAAATTTGTGTATACTTTAAATAAATTATAATTGTAAATCTCATCTTGACGAACCAACCCCAAGTAATATTATTCAAATTACTTAAAAATCACAGTACACAATACAAAACTGACAGAAAGCCACCAGCATCTATATTATTTTTTTCGAGTCAGTAAAGAAAAATTTGTGGCTAAAATGAATCAGGTATCAACTAAATAGAAATGAGCGCATGACGAAGAAAACGAGAAATTGCAGTGATAAGTTTCCTACAATATTTGTGTCAAATTTCCGGGCATCGAATGAGCTCAAGACGACACTACATGTCCATTAGCATCTCAAAGAGATGAAGTGACAAGGAGGGACAAGTGAAAAGCAACAGAAACTAAGACACTTGAACAAAAGGTTGTTTACATGGCCTGGGACATTGGCCAGTGGCCACCGCTGCCCCGCACACGAGAGATAGAGAAGGGAAATGTAATTAAGTAATCCTATTCCTACCTACTGTAACCTACATAATAACTTGACCCCCCAACTGAAGCCTGCAGTCAGACACCGGCAAGCTCAGCGGCAAGGCGCTCATCAGGATCAATCCCCCTAGGAGCGCAAAATCCCATAGGAATTCTGAATGGCACAGACACACGTCAGAGTCTCCTCTGAGGGGTACTAAACTACTAATATAAGTAAAGATGAACTAAACCTTTACCTGGAGTTTGAAGTATGATGGAATTTTAAAGAGGTAATCGTAATACTTATACTTAACCCCTGTTCAGGCTGAAGTTGTCAAACACAGAAACAGGTACACACACCTACATTTTACAATCAGAAGAGTCAAAGCTAGATTAATTAGATTATTACGCCAAGATGAACATTATTTGAGATAAATACCGTGATTCGAATTATGAGTTAATTATATATTCTTTTTTAATAATATTTTATTAAAATTTAATATTATTTTATTAATTTAATATTAATATAGGATTCTTTTTTAAAGTCATTGTCATTCCAACGTCTCAGACAATTTTACGACCGGACTCGCGGCCAAACGTATTCATTAGGACATAACGGTGCTGTTTAGCTCGTGAAAATTTTTTAAATTTAGCCTTCATTCGTGCGTTATATGTCGATACGTACCGAAATTCGCCGTGAACAAGATATTTCTTCCAAAGTACTAAACAGATTTCAACGAAACTTTGTATATGAATACCTAACTTTCCAATGGTGTAGTTTAGCTCGCGACAATTTTTTCGATTTCATTTAGCCTTAGTTTTCGAGTTATTCCGCTTTACGTATACTGCTCTAGGTCAATGCAAATTTAAAAATCGGCCTGAGAAATGCCGGCCGTTTCTTCGTATATCCGTCACAGATTCAGTTTTGTAGACAAGTCCGGAGATTGAGTAGGCCACCCGAAGATAGCGCTATTTCGTAGATGCAACAATAATATTGGTGCAGTGACGCACATACAATGGGTGAGATCTTAACGCGGGAACATCGTCGGTTGTGCACTTCTGAAGGATTCCAGCAAGTAAAACGTCATTAAATATTGCTATTGTTCTTTTTTTCAAATTTGCAGCCAAACCACTGCAATAAATACAATGTTTAAATAAATGTTTCAATAAAAATAAAAAAATCCAATTATTATTAATGACAATCATTACAATCAAAAATCATTTGCAGTCATTATTAATGATAGTCATGCTATTACAATCACTGAACAGTAACAAATATAAGCTTTCACCAGGAATAAAAAATGACCGGCAAATACTACGAAGCCAGCTTTTCGCGGCATCTGAATTTTTTTCAGCGAAACTAATTAAAATTTCTGTTTGGCTATTCCGCTTGTACATTTCCATGCAAAGTGCGGCATCCAGCTTGTCATATAATAACGGTCTTACTGGTACATGAACGATTCAACACAATTCACTGTCACGCAGTACGAGGAAAATTAAATCAACATTAAAGTAAAAATATGACACTTTTTCCGACATATATAGTTGGGGTTGCAGGTTTGTATTGACCAGCACGTAACAAAATATCCAATTAAATTGACATTTGGGAATTTGTCTGCTTCTATTATCCTAAAAATTGGAATTATTACATTTACTTGTATATTAAAAATAATTATATAATAATATATTAAAATTTTAATGGAAATTGAGTGCTCTGAATTTCATAATCGCTCGTCCTATTATTGATAGATTTATTGATGAGTAAAAATAGATTGTTTAATACATGTAGTTAAAAAAATCAAATTTGGTATTATTAAAGTGATTTCTATGAGACAAATAGACTAAAGTTTCAGTGCATTCAAGAAGAGATGCAAATTTGTTGCTTAATTACCAAAAACAGGGTAAAAAATCATCATAATTTGAGTCCAGTTGATCAATATTTAAATTTAATATATAACATGTTTGATGATCATGGTATCACACACTCTAGCTTGACCGTTGAGGTTATTTTGCCATTTAATTCAACATCAAAAATATTTTCATTTGCAAATCGTGAATCAAATAACGAACAGTTAATGACTAAAATGGTTTATGCAGTAACTAAAACTGAGGGTTTCGTAGCCATGTTTAACTTTTATTTTTGTTGCAGAATTTGCCTCTCAACGATGCTCACAAACTTGAAGAAATCGTCTGCCAAGACTTCAGGCACTTCCATAGCCGCAAAATGTCCGCCCACGTCAAAAATGCTGTAAAAATAAAATCACAGCAATTTAAATTATAAAAAAGTGCCCCTTTCTCTATTAAACTCCTGCAAATACTACTATGTAATTTAAGGAAATTTGGTTTAAAATCGATAAAAAATTAACTTAAAAAAAAATTTGAAAGTATATGTAGGGTCAAGGCAAAATAATGAATTTCAAACGCTTAACGTGATTGGCCGACTTCCAAATGATTAAATACAGAAAATGTTATAATTTTCGCTACAATTTCTAGGTAGTCGAGTTTCGTGATATTTTTCAGAAAAGAATCAAGCAAAATCAACTGTGTATAAATTTACCTGAATTTTTAAAAAATTAAAAATCTCAGGTATACTTTCTAGAAAACTAGGCAAAGCAATACATCAGAACAGAAAATCCAATGTAAGACCAATTAACCAAGATTTGTTAATAGCAGCCAGAAAATGAAAAATAATTGATAAAATTGACTTGGCGCAACTCACGAGTAAGAGACAATATTTCGGAGCTTCTGCTTGGCCAAATTCTCAGGCACGACCATGATCTCGTTGGCAAACGCTGCTACTCCAGCAGGTACCTTCGTGGGGATGCTGAACATATGGAAGACTCATGTGGTGAAGAAAATACGGAGAATTGAACGTTTAGCTAACGAAAATCATGATCCTGATTTCGCTACATCTAACAAATGGCAAAAAATCTCAATAAATGTAATAGATGAAGAAATCAATGCCAATCACAAACAAAAAACATAAACAGTTCGTGACCCTGTGCGTTCTCATCCGCACGCGTTAGGAATTAACTTTTGCATAGTAATTCAGACTGAAGCAAATAAATTAAGGGGTGTAAAGTTAAGAGGCACATCCAAAGACGTCGTGGGGGATGACGCTGTTGGCCACATCACTCTACCTATGAATAGCTTAACAGTATAAGTCTAGACTCCGCTTCAATAACACCTTCTATCAATGGAGACCCGCATTAATAATGAGTAAGAAATTATCCCTGTCCTTAGGTTATGATCTGCGTTGCAGCAGCATGATCGTAGAACTACTGTAAGTGATTAAAAGTTCGACGCGAACAATCAAAATAAACTGGATTGGTTGTGATGATACGGGTTTCACGGGGAAAAATTATTTTTCGCCAATCGGACTCGATTAGTGATTAGTAATTCTTCGCCAAACTTCAAGCCATAGTGGACATGGGCTCAATCGGTTCGTGAGTTCTATTGCTGGCAAGTTTCACATGTCTGAGGGCACGGCGAACAGCGTGTGTTCGAGGGTATTTTATTTTGAGCAAAGATAAAATAACAGCTCGGTATTAGGTATGTAATACAGTCGGACACTACATCTGCGACTTTACTCTTCTAAATGAGTGGTCCATTAACCATTACTCACCAGAACCTGAGCCTGTAAATTATTTCTTAATTGTACGGCGCCAAATGTCACACCTTCAAGATAAGGCTGATCCTTATCGGTTGGAAGTGCCGTCTTGCTCTAAGTTTCAAGTCGTATTGAGGATATTATAGACGACAAAGAAATATATTAAGTGAGAATTCATCGAGTAAGAGCGCTGAAAGAAGTAAAACATTTTTAACTTACCGTTAGTACAATAAAAATGCGACCTATAAGAAGTATAAAAATTTGATTTATAATCTCACTTCTTAACGCTCAATGACAGGGACGACGGATTGAAAGACTCTGCATAGAGACGCATGCTGCTTGTGATGCAACCCGTGAACCTGCAATGAATTAAATTCAAGTCAACATTTCATGATAGTCTCGCAATTGATGGAAAATCAGTGAAAACCTTTAGAATAAAGCGAGAGACAATAGGGAATATGCCATGTCTCGTCAACGAGGAAAATTCATGATTTAGACGAATACACGAAAACTTGTTAAAAACATTAAATGCAGCCGTGGAATAAATACCAATATGTTCAGAACCAAAACGATGATCCAAAAAATTGGACTTTTTTACCAATAAAAAGACAGTATATAGTCACCAGTAGAGAGAGATGTCATCGAGCACAGCGTCCAGAGGAATAGGGAAGTCAGGCTCGAGGAGCCCCCCATTCTTGTGGTACACGTAAGACTTGTTGGTGGCAGTGCTGAACTTCTCGAGTATGTAGGCCGCTAAACCCACTGGCGACGAATTCAGGGCAACACCTGCCGCAGAAAACACAAACAATCTCTTTCAATTCAAAATATTTAAAAATCGTTGTTAAACATGGCCTCCTTATCCACAATCGCAATTCACTTGAAACCAATTCAAATTATCTCTAGGAAATTTTCGGAACCATTGGCAATTTCAAGAGTGTAATTATAACTCAATTACGTTCTGATGACTGCAACAATTAAATCTAATTTTCTATAGTCAGTAACTACAATGAGCTAGCAAATTCGTGAAAATGGTATGGCATACAGAAACTTTGAGGCCTCAACCAAGACATCCCTATTTAACCTCACCTATTGTGTCTGGCTTTGTCGCTTGGATATGCAGGTATCCTGTTTCTCTGAGTACAAAACTGAATAACTCAGACAATGGGTAAAATTTTTTTTCTTGAGCATAGTCCATGACGAAGCCTGAAGGCAGAAACGCTCCAAGGAACAGCTTTATTTGATTGCTCCATGAGGAGGCCATCATCATGTTCACGTGCATCCCGTAGAGACTGAAGTGAAAAAATTATTCAGATCGAATAGAGATGATTTGTATGTTTATGTCTAATTAGTATGNATGGATGGGGTACAATTTAGCCTTTGGCTAACATACCAGGCAAGAACGGCAACCGCAACTATCACAAACCTTAACAGCAAACCCATCTTGAACAATATTTTATTATACAACAAGAGGGGACTATAGCAGTACAAACCCCTTCTGGGATAAAAGATAAGCTGATGTCAACTATTCTGCGATAAAGAAAAAAAATTATCGGTCTCTGTAGCATAGGAGGTTGGAAAACTATGAACGGCTGGTTTGACGTGCGATCGGAAATCAAAATTAAGTAGCTAGAATGCTTGCAATCATGAGAGAGAAATCCATCTATTCGTGCTATTTTTGCAGACTGATTGAGAAGGAAGAATTACAACCGCGAGCTTCCCGACACCTGACGACTGTGACTGTAGCAGTCCAAGTTCGAACTGAGATCGGCTTGGTGAGTTGATAAGAATTTAGTGACCTTGAGCTGTCTTCCTTGGTGGTGGTGACTGGTAAGTATGAAAGAATAGATAGCCAATGGCATGGAGCAAAGATTGCCACAGGTGTAGGTAACAGGGATCTTGTTTCAAATGTGGATCGTTCATAAGTTTAACATTTAATTTATTTATTTGTTGATCTTCTTAATGCTTTTTACAAATTTGGAACCGGAAGCTGGACAAAATTGATTGCAAAAAAGTTAAAGACATTATCAATTTTTTTCCTAAAGAGAGTGCACGTGGTTTCCAAAGAAATAAGCTTCGAAAAGAAAAAAACATAGTCATTCAGTATTCGTTCCACCAAGCGACGAAGAGCAACAAATGAGAAAGAATCGCACTCAATTCATGTACTTAGTTAACTACTACATCTGTGTAACCTCCATGCCTCAATTCTAACGTATTCTCCAAAAATCATTATCAAATTCTACCGCACAACAGGCACCGAAAGCCAGATTTACATCGACATCACCATAACCGATCAGAACTGTAACCGCATGTCGGTTGTTACCTCGAACGCAACTCTTTAGCCAAATACCGGATGTTACTCTAAATGCACTTATTGAACAGCACACCGGGTATTATTTCGAACGCATCTCTCGAACTTGCATACCGGCTGTTACTCCGAGTTCAAAACATAGCATAAAAGACATGTCAGCTGTTATTTCGGGCGCCCAATTTGAACCCGCACTGCAACACGTTTCGTTGTTTAAAAAATCTACAGAATTTCTAAATGGGGAATAGAAGGGGGTTTTAGCCATCCAATTCAGTGTAATGCATCTTAGTGTGTAGATCAGTGGTTCCCAAAGTGGGCGATATCGCCCCCCTAGGGGCGATGGAAAGATTTTGGGGGGCGGTAAAGAAGAAGAGGGTGATAGGGGGGCGATAGGGGGGCGACAGTCCGAAGTCGCAGTCAGATGTTCGAACGTTTGTTTGACGATTTGTACACAGCACGTGCAGCACATCACTCCCAGCGATGGTTCTTTCAACCAGACCAGATCTGTTTTTATATGGCAAAACGGGCCGAAATTCACAGTGATCAAGGAATTTCTTCCAAACTACTGAACAGATTCGAACGAAATTTTGAATTTTCAGTCCTAAGTACCGAACGGTTATGTTTAGCTCGTGAAAATTTTTTCGCTTGTGCCCTCGTTCGCTAGTTTCATTCGTGATTTAAACAGCAATACGTGCTTAACTTCGCAGTAATCAAGAAATTTCTTCCAAACTAATGAACAGATTTGAACGAAATTTAGTATTTTAATACCTAACCGCAGCAACGGTGATGTTTAGCTCGTTAAAATTTTTTCGTTTTGCCTTCGTTTGCGAGTTATACGGCTATACGTAAACGGCTCTTGCTAAACCTGCCGGTAGAAAAGCCGGTCGTTCATCCTATATCTGTATAACTCTCGAACGAAAGCGAATATGGAAGTGTGAAATCAAGAATGACGGTGAACTAAAAAAAAAATCTCGCAAACGACGGTATAATCAAAATTTTTTTAAGCTAAAAAACACCATTTGGTAGTTATGAATGTATATTCAAAATTTCGTTCAAATCTGTTCGGTAGTTTGGAAGAAATTCTTTGATCACTGCGAATTTCGGCCTGTATCGCAATACTGTATAACTCACGAACGAAGGCGATATTAAAAAAAACTTTCGCAAGCTAAACATCACCGTCAAGTTCTGATGAAAACATGTTACAAGTTTTATTGCGCCGCGTTCATTAGTTTGGTTGATATTACTTGATAATTGAATTTGGAGATTGGTCTTGAGACCGGCAACGAGTCCGGCCGTAAATTTGCCCGAGACGTCCTAGGTTTCTAGTGCTGAAACAGTTAAAACGGCTGAAAAACATATTGGTTCACTAAAAGGGGTTCTATTTGTGAAATACACATTTGTGTTTAACCTTTATCTTTTAAAATTGCAGCGTACTAAATTTTATTAAAGAGGCGCATGATTTTATATGTGTCTGTGGGGGGCGCTAGAAATTCAGTAGGGAGCCAAAGGGGGCGCCAGCCTGAAAAAGTTTGGGAACCACTGGTGTAGATAATTGATTGTTCATGCCCGCAATTTCTAGCCCATCAAAAAAGAAGAATCTGCGAAAATTCTAAATTAAATAATTGGAGATTAATTACTTTAATTTTTGATAAATTCTGAAAGGTAATGAAATACGAAGGTTTGATGATCCAACTGCTCTTGCACAGAGTAAATTTATTCATTTATTATAATTAGAGGAACGATAATTATCATTTACCAATCTACAACACATTCCGTGAAGCTACCAAAATTGTACAAACGACACAGATGCCAGAAAAAAACTGATGGAGTGAGTTAACATTCCACTTTTACAAAGACAATCATTAGACATTATTAAAATTCTATATCAAATACTTGTACGCAACAGCTAATGTTTTTCCGCGATTTTTCATTGCATTTTAATCTTGTTTGTACTCAACGAACAATAATCTTTTGTGAATACCATGAAAATTAGGATTGACTTCAACAGATGGCACGAAAGTTGCGCTAATGAGTGTAAACAATGAATAACAAAAAACAATCGGAGAACTAAATGCTGCCAAAGTCTTGAACTGGATCGATCGTTTATTACATGTGAAAATTTCCAACACTCGTTATTTTTGGCATTGAGGTTTGGTAAATCAATCTTACCCTAGTTCTTCAATTCCTTCGCAGAAACATTCAAAAAGTCTGACCATTTTGCCTTTGTCAACTATCATGGTTATCAAATTGTGGAAATTCTAACAGCAGAAGACAAAATTTAGGTCACAAGCAAATAATTTTGTTTTCTCACACTACCTTTCGTTCGTCTACTAACGTTATTTTATGCTACTATGAGGTACCAGGGCAATTGGGTTAGGTCCAGAAAAGTAGCAACTTCCCTAAGAGCAAGGAAAAGTGAGGGCATCAAGTCAGAAGCTTAAGACTTCTTTGTCTTCTGCAGCTGCTCTTCCTTCATTTGGCGCTCAACGATGTTCACATAAATGAAAATATCGTCGGCCAAGATCTTGGGAACCTCCATGGCCGCAAAATGTCCCCCAATTTCCGGGTTCCTGTGTTATTATAGGATGAAAAAGAGCCAAATTAATATAATTGAATCTGAGTGAATAGAAGGTTTTGAAACAAAATTTTTAAGTAATATTACCATTGCTGTATAATAAATATCCAGATGTCTACAAAACTTACGTATACGTGATGATATTGTGGAATTTGTGTGCGGCAAGATTTTCAGGTATGACCGCCAAGTCGTTGCCGAATCCGGCAAGCCCAGCAGGCACAGTGGTAGGGATGCTGTAAAAAAATTAAACGTAATGTTACGAAACGCAACACGTTTTAAAACACAGCGTTGAATAACAAATCATGATTATAGGATTACGTTATGGAGCTGCATTTGAAACAAACATCATGGTTACAGTAATCTGGACCTAGATAGCGCTCACTTAGAACGAATAAATACACATCGCTAGAAAGATTTGGCCTAACTTTGATATACTCGTAATATAAATGAATAAAGTTCACAAAATTTGGATTCGTCGGTGTTTTTCTAAAATTATTTCAGTGTATAGAAGACATTTCTAACAACTAAAAATTAAAGAGAGGATTGCCACCAGGAACTCTCACTTGAACATGGTGATCGCGGGTGAGGAGGCACCGAAGAATTCGGAGTAGAGCCTCATGCTGCTGGTGATGGATCCCGTAAACCTAGGGTTCATGAAATTGTTACTCAAACATAGTGCTTGAGAATGTAAAATTAAATAAATTCATAACAAAATATTACCGAAAAGAAATGTGCAAGCAATAATTATTGGGAAAAACTAGCATTCTGTAAACGTTGAGCATATCACTTTTTTATACTGTATATGTCATGTCAAAACATCAAGTGATATGGAACTCAAAACTCACCAACAAACGCTGAGTTACAACTCACCAATAAACGCAAATGTTATCCAGCATCGCATCCAGAGATATAGGGAAGTCGGGGTCCAGGAGGCCTCCGTTCTTCTGGTTCAGATACTTCATGTCGGTCCACGTACTGAACTTCTCAAGGATGTACGCAGCCAAGCCTTGGGGAGATGAATTCAGAGCCACTCCTGCCAAAAATTCGTTTTGAAACGAAGAAAATGCAAACATGTGGCACGCATTATGATCTTTCTCCCTACATAACGAATATCCAGGAAAAATCAGTTCAGACTCGAAATAATTCACTAACGGTACATAAGCGACGCAACTGAAGCCAACTCTAAGTACCTAATTATCAAGCATTATGACTATAAATGTAGGCTAACTCAGAGTGCCACAGTGATCTCGCAGGATTTTTCTCACCGACTGTGTCCGGCTTGGTTGCATGAAGATGCGCATACCCCATTTCTCTGAGAGTAATGCCGTAAAAAGTAAGCAGCGGGTACCACTTCTCTTCTAGTTTGGGATCCATGACGGTTCCGGAAGGCAGGAATGCACCAAGCATCAGTTTAGCTTGTGCGCCCAGGGTCATGGCCATCACCATATTAACGTGAATCCCGTACAAACTGAAATAAGGCGACTCGCAATGTGAAATCAACTTAGATTTCCCCAAACGAAAACAATGTGGAATTTAACTTGAAGGCGACTATTTCAATAAGGAATGTAAAAATACAGAGAATGCAAAGAAAAGTCGAGATATTATTAATGAAAACGTTCCAGAGTCTGGCATCATCATCGGTTTGACATTCCAGGTAAGGTTAAAATGGAAAAAAATCAAGTAAAATTTAGCTCATTATTTTCTGTTGATTTCTTCGATAAGTTGCGAGTGATAGCACAGAGGAAGATAATTCTGCAAAGATTCAATCAATCGTGTGAAATTTAGGTTTAGATGATTTTAAAATTGAAGCTGGTGGACTGATATCACGAGAAACTCGGAGAAAGTATCTTCATTTGGTAGCCATGCAAACACACATTTCTAAGTTGATCGCATCATAAGTAGGACAACTGATCGCTCAAGTAAATGTAGGAAGCCGTTTTATCTCTTTCTACCGCACAAAATTTGCAAAGCGCATGGAAGTTTCAAAATACTGCTATCCGAATTGATTTGAAGTAAACTAAATTATTTTATGAACATAATAATAATTGAAGTTTTCAAAACCTCAAAACTTGGAGTTCGTTCGTGATATGAATTGATTGAAGTCGATTTTTTCCAGTGCAAAATGAACCAATGTTGTAGGATCGATTGCGTACTGATTAGGATACCAGTACCGTAGGAACTCTTTTCAGATGTTTCCTTTGTACTTTTTTTTTTTGAAAGAGACCGCGATTGAAAAATTTACATTTCTTAAAAGTGTCATTCACTCTTTCAACGGGTATAGCAATGGAGAAATTTTTTCTTGTGTTTTTTTCCTTATAACGCTAAACCTTCTTGAATTATACAATAAAAGAGCTTCTAATGTGAAGCTCACGTGTCAGGGAATGCCGTGGCAATGTCGTGTGCGATGCCAGAGCCCCAATCCCCTCCTTGAACGTAGAACTTCTCGAATCCAATTCTCTTCATCAACTTCGTCATAATTTGAGCCATTGCAAGTGTGTTCATACCTGAAATTATAGTCGGGATAATTGCGAATGCCGTCCCGATAACAAGTATAGTATAATATACTAGACTGCTAATGTGAGATAATTCCTTGTAAGTTACAACAAAAACCGAGAGTCTGATGTGATGCAATAACATAAAAGAAATGGGTCTTCTCAAAGTTATAGATGAGCGATAAATGAATACAATTTAAGACTGATCAATGACTGTCAGCTCAAATAAAATCTAGACGTTAGTTATGCAAAGTTCAAGCGATTTCACTAGCATGCTTACAGTTCTGTTAACAAAACTTAGCCTTTTTGAGAAAAACGTTGGCCGCGCTATTAAATTAACCAAGTACTAAGTTTGACGCACAGAAGGGGCAAAGTTCATAATTTTTACCCGGTTTGGCAGCAGCTTCAGAGAAACCATAGCCAGGCAGGGAGGGACAGATGACATCGAAGACGACCTCGCTGTCTGCCCGAGGTGTCGTCAACAAGGGCAGGATGCCCATAAACTCTACGAAGGAGCCCGGCCATCCGTGCAGCAGCAGCAGCGGTCGCACCGTCTTGCCGCTGCCGGCGGGGGGCGACGCGCGCATGAAGTGAATGTCCAGGCCCTCGATGCGCGTCCTGTAGAAAAAAGGGAAAAGAGAACGATGTGCAATTGCAGTCAACAGAGACAAGATGGGATAATGAGAATAAAATTAGAAGCTAAATTGTAAACTAAATGTGAAAAGGTTACTAGAAATATAGTAAGACCACGCACGATGGAAATCGAGACTACTGAGAATGAGTGAAAGCAAATTGAAATATGATGTAAATTCCGAAAAATAGAAGTGTTGAAACCCAATCTTGAACACCGTAATAAAACAAGCCATATCATATTAGACCTAAAGAATTTCACTTTATTTGGAAATCCTAGTTTGAGTTTTTATTCGAATTTATGGAACGAGGGTTGGCACCTTCCAAAATGCTGCGTTTGGTTGCTGAGTTCAAATCTATGGTGTACATACTTTCATAATTTTACAAAGAAAATTCCTCTGTTATACTTGAAATGCGGGTAGGCGTTGAGTTTTGTCTCGCGCTTCTTCCAGTCGTAGGAGTCCCTCCAGTACTTGAGGATGACGGCCATGGTTGTCGAGTCCATCCCGTAGGTAAAGTTGACGCCTTCCAGCGACGGCGCTAAGCGGGGTGCTTGTGCAAGTCTGGCCTGCAGGTCTTGCACGTCCTACGGATCCCACATAAGAATTAAAAAAATAGATTTCGCTTCATGTTTGCTAGTAATATTTAATTCAAATCATTGAAGCGAAGGAGTAGAAACTGAAAGAATCATGAGCAGCGAACAAGGAATTTNTTCCAGTCGTATGAGTCCCTCCAGTACTTGAGGATGACGGCCATGGTGGTAGAGTCCATCCCGTAGGTGAAGTTGACGCCTTCCAGCGACGGCGCTAGGCGGGGCGCTTGTGCCAGCCTGGCCTGCAGGTCTTCCACGTCCTGTTAAAAATTGGGAGTGTATTAAAAATATATTTCAGATGTATAAATAGGAATGAACAATTATAATTGTCTTAAAATTTGGAGTGTTTTAAAAAGATTTTTTAGATATACAGTATATAAATGGGAATGAACGATTTAATTATCTTAAAATAAAGAAGATTGTGTATATTCATGTAGGACAACGAAATAAGAATAGAAACAGTGTTAACATGGTAATAGAATAATACGGTGAAATGGTAACAGAAACTACATGATCGACGTTCACCACTCCAAAACTAAAGTGCCATGCAGCCATTTTATAATCCGATAAAACATCGAAATATTGTGGATGTGGGGTAAAATAATGTTGAATTGTAATCAACATTTCAGTCGTTTGACACAATTTAAACGATTCAAAATTTGATTGATCAGCTGACACGCGTCTGAGCTATACACAGCAAACAAATAGCAGTTGCAAAAATCTTACCTTAGCGGGAATGTCAATTTTGAAGGGTCTAATCTTAGAGTCACTCTTCTTTGGTTCGCCAAGACCCCACCAAGGGTCTGGGTCGATGTAGGGCAGCGGTGGGGTTGAATTTAGCCTCACCGCAATATACCAGGCCAGTACGGCTATGAATATCACAGAAATGCGACCTAAAATACCCATTCTGACTGAGGTAGGAGTGGAGAAGTACAAAAGTTAGATTGTGATCCAAAATTAGAAACAAAAGTTAAAACCCTATGATAAATATTGAAAAACTTGCTAGTAAATTGAAGTGGACATTGATCGAGTTAATTTATAGCTTTAGTGATTTACAAAGAAATTCCATACCTACTGACCTTAAATAGTCGACTATGATACAGGGAAAGCAGATCAACAATTTCTGCTGTCAGTAATAACGTCAAGCTCTTGCTCGACAAATATCACGTGAGAATGATAAGCATTTGAGTGCAAGATATGATTCAAGGTCGTGTACATGTGGCAGAACAGCAAGAAAATAGTAGCAGCATCAATTAGGTCTTTGAGAGCCGCCGCATGCATTCTGCTCGTTCCTCTGCAACACAGAACCACGACTTGATATGCAACGCCTGACTCTCATAGCTCTTCTACTGTTAGTCATAACATTCAACAGTTAATCACGCATGGCTGTCATATACGCGCTAATGGGAAAGGGACTCAATCTCTCTAATACCCTATGTTTACTTCCGGGAGTAATGGTTACGCATAATTTATATTAACGTGTGTGAAAAATCGAGCCATGTCGAGTCTTACATTTCGGGGTCAAACTAAGCTTGAATTCTGAAATTAAATTACGAAAAGAAATAGAAACACAGTAAGCACACTTGACAGACATTATACAGTCTGCTGGATATTTACACGGATCAATATTTGCCTATTTAATCCGTCACCCACAGTAACTTGGGCAGACGCCTACCTATATACTGTGCCTACCTATAATAAAGACGCCTACCTATTCTAGAGAAACTCTTTTGCTTTCTTGTCAATCATACGTACACGAGTAATTAGGTTACGTTATAATTTTGTTCGTGGTGATATATATGCGAATAAAGTAAAACTGTCTCGAGCGCGCGAATTGTGCGAGATGGAATTTTAAAATATTAACAGTTCCTCGCGTGGGATGTTGTCGTGTGTCCGTGTCGCGCATGTTGACGGTTGCGTCTGGCGTCCTAAGCTGGTTCACGAAACCGCAATACTTATCCTCGTACTGAGACTCATGATCACTCACCAACAGTTCTCGCATGATTGACACCTCATACACGCTGTTCAAGTACTTTCACGCAAAATCGAACGGGCAATGACAAAACGGACCAACATAGACCCCAATATGCTAGAATATAAAATCAAATTCATTGTATAAAATCCAGCACATACTAATACTGAAATAGTACCTAATAAATTTCGGTAAATCATAATCCATAACGTGGCGTATACTTCGTTCAAGAGAACACGAGCCAAATGGCAGTGATAAACTATAGGCTATTACACGCCTTTTGTAAAGCCACTGTGATCATGACTTGTTGCGAAGTGAATTCAGAGGTCCGTAGTGACCGTATAGGCAACGGCCGACACACCTTCTTAGCTCACTCGCCCAAGTCCAAGGTCACACTGCGAGGTTAGTTCTCAAGTCTCAACTTCTCGTGCCTGAGTTAGGCGATGACATGTGTTTGTTGAGACGTGGGACTCCACAGATATGTCTGTATCTATGCTATCTGTCTTCGGCTCGTTCAAGTAACTGCAATCAAACTATAATCAAACTATAAGAACAAAATCAGACCATATAAGTTGATAAATATTTTTACACTGTGATGAGTGAGTGCCATTACTAACGCATAAGCCAATGTGCATAGCTTCTTATGTGTCTTGAAATTCGATTACATACAAATTTGCTGCGTGTAGTAATTCAATGGATTTGAAAAAAATCAAACTGTTTTCTGTACCTTTTGACTTAGCAATAGTTATATACAGACCGTCACTTCATATAGTTGCTGACTAACAAAATGCTGATTGACTCTCGAACATATACGTAACCATATCCGATGACATCTATAACGTCGCGTAAGCCGTTGTATAACAATTTTTTGTGATGTATCAAAGAAAACAAATTGTTCCAACTGCTGAGTAGAGTACAATTTGGGTACGTATAAGCCTTCCCTAAGTTTATTTTTTTATATGAAAACTCGCTATATGTAATCGGACATCCACTTCAATTGACACAAACTTGAGTATGAAACCGTGCAAACATTTGGCTTAACAACTTTACGATATTGCTTTCTTTATTCTGTGTGAACTGTAATGGGTCATTATGAGTGGCAGCTTACTTATTATTACCAATATTTTAGAACAGCAGAACACAATATTTTCATTAAGTTACAGTTCTATATTGTAATCGTTTTCTATATTTGTATTTTCTATATCTTCACATATTAATGTGGAATACTGATACATATTGCCGTCTTGGATCTCGGGACCCACATTGATATCCATTAAGATGAATACACTTTCATTCTTAGAATACATGTATTCCTGACGTATTCGTTCACGGCCGCGTTGGTGCTCCCCCTTCTTCATGTGACGTCCACGGCCATCAGCAGGAAGCTCGATCCACGTCCACCGTTGATGATGCGTGGTGCAATAGATTGAGTGGAACATCACACAACCAACGCGAATATGTTCTCAGGTAGAGACACCGATTTAAGCTTGCTTTTGAATGATACATGATAGTAGTGAGCAGAATTGAACGGTCAGAAATAGAGCTTAGGGTGGCGCATGCCGGAAGCCAGCTTTTTACTAATAAACTCTGCTCATGTTACTTTCCGTGGGAGTGGGGAAGAACACTAGAGGGCAAAGCAGTCTATAAAGTCAACTGCTCAAAGCTAGAGGGCCGGATGTTAACAGCCACCACTTAAGCATGATAAAGGTAAGCATGGCCATACTGCACCTGACCAAACCTCTTACTATTTAATATCATCTAGAATTCTAGCCTAACCTACGTAAGTTGCGATATTTTTCCGCCTAAAACTAACCTAGGCGGACGCAACCTAACCTCATTGGCTGCAGGAAGTTAGAAAGGCAGTTCAAGTGAGCTGGTAGAGCTAGTAATTGGTTGCAAGACTGTTTGAGCCTTGGACAGCGTGAATAGTTCAGGCCAAAAGAGGTTAGGCCGAATGCCGAAGTGCCTGCTTATAATATGGCGAGCATGCTTATATATAGGCTGAAGACCAAACGACGCTATCATCTTACACAACGATTTGTCTGCGCAGTTCTAATCGTTGCAGGTAAAACGTTACATGTGGACGGGAAAACTGCGCAGTTCCATCGAAATCTGAGCTACAGAGCATAGATTTCGATGAACTGCGCAGACAAGTCGGAACGTGTGGACGGTAGCACAGTTTTCCGATTCAATTTGTGCTCAGTTTCAATGATTCTGACGACAATGGCGGACTTTCGGTAAGGTTCTCGGGAATTTATTGCTCTTCTATACGAAAGTTTTTCTTGCATTTGGCGAGTAAAATTCAATGACTATAGTAACAAGCACAAACAAAGGTGGAGATATACAAGGGCTTAGTAGAAAAATTAAATAAATCGATGAACGGGCAAACGGAGAAACGGCTATAAAACAAGTTGAGGAGCATCTACCGTAAATAACTCTGAATAAATAAATAAATCGATTCCATCTGGACCTGGAGAAAAAGACATCTACAAGCCATCTCTCTTGTATTTTGATTCCTCGTATTCCCTAAATGATCCAATCTTTTTTTTAACAAGGCACAATGCCAAAATTTATCAAAATACTGCCTTCTCCATGGATCGATTCGGACAAATTTACGCCCGGACTCGCGGCCGGTCTCTCCAAATTCGATGAGCATAGAAAATCTCCCAAAGTAATGAACGTAGATCGATAAAACTTGGTACACGTATCCATTAGGACTTAACGGTAATGTTTAGCACGTGACAATTTTTTTCGATTTTGCCTTCGTTTGCGGGTTACACGGCTTTATCTAATCTAAAAAATTGTCACGAGCTAAACATCGCCGTTTGGTGGTTAGGTTTATATATTCAAAGTTTCGTTCAAATCTGTATAGTAGATATGAATAACTGTCATGCTCACTGCAAATTTCGGCAGGTATCGTCATATAACTCACGAATGAAGGTGAAACTCTAAAAATGTCCACGAGCTAAATGTCACCGTCACGTCCTAATGAATACGTGTACCAAGTTTTATCGAGCTACGTTCATTACTTTGGGAGATATTCCATGCTCACCGAATTTGGGGAGACCGGCCGTAAATGTGTCCGAGACGTCTCCATGGCGTGATCGCGCAAAACTGAGTAAACTACTCAGATAAGTCGGCACCATGTGGACGCTCTAAAAATTGCAACGATTTCATTTCGACTTAAAAAACTGCGCATACAAATCGTTGTGAAAACTGAGCGTGTGGACCGGCCTTAAGAATTAAATATGTTGGCTACAGGGCTTATTTAAGAATTAAATTTGTAGCGTACGGCTGCGGACTTCCCCCCCCCCCCACACTTCTCGTCAAATTAGAAAACTTTGGTAGAAAACTTTTTCTTCATCCCTTTCATCCTGAGGAGGCGCATGCCGTAAGCCACAAATTTAACTCTTCAGCCCTGAAGCCAATGTCCAGCATCAGCATGCAATAACTTTAATGAATCACAGAACTAGAAGCCGCCGAATACGCTGGAATACCGTAATCCAGACCACTGACACTGCTTAAAGACGATAACGTCGTAGGTCTTTAGCCAATACATCAGAATTAAGAATACCTACTCCCGCGTAACCTCTTCAGGCCTAACTTATTTAGGGCAATACGTATCCATTGATGGACAAATCGCCACATCTTCTCATGCCCACACTTCACAGCGTTCGCCAGATCCACTTGTTATTTGACTCGTGTCACCACTGTAGCTACGAGGTCAAAAAACGTAGCCCCAGTTGCTCATCGCCACCCCAATGTCACGAGTAATTCCAGTGCAAGTTACGACTTAACGTGAAGTTCACGAGAAACCACGTCGACTTCAGCCCAATCCTCATAGTGCACCAAAATACTTGTTTTGAAACCAGCCCTTCGGCCAAGGCATTCTCAAACGCCGAGAGAAATTGTGTGCTTAGGATCACTGGTCTTCTATTATGGAGCCTAGCTGTTTCTTGCACCCTCTTTGAAAATATATGTTATCAGTTTTCAAACATTTCTTTTCCTTAACATTATTTTCCATAGCGGAGTGAACTGGGGTCCATAACG